TTCATTTAGTGGTTTTATAAAAAAATGGAAATTGTCAATTAATTATGAAAAAAAACATGAAACTAACAATATTTCATAAACATAATACTTGAATACATAAAAAATTCTCTAGGATACATGTCCCATGTCTTAACAATCATTCAATAAAAAATATAATATATTCACGGCTATAATCAACATTCATATTCACTCAATTCACAATGAAGAAATAAACTCAACAGTTACTCAATGGCTCATTACAACATTCATTGAGTAAAAAACACAATGAAGAGGCATAGAATTCTATTCATCTACAGCAAAGAGTGGACATTTGACTCAGCTAGCATTAGTGGTGCTAAACAAATTTTGCTGCAAAGACAAATAGCAGTGTTTAGTGGAACCATTTTAAGGTGCAATAGCAAAAGAATTGGCAATATCTTCGAGGTAGGCCCTCTGAAAATGCTCTAGCGCTATTTAGAACCATGAATAATAACAAGGTAAACATCAGTGGCTTTAATTCTATTCTGAAGAAGAAATGAATGTTAACGCTGAAGCATTTTGTATGACCACTAAAGGTGCACTTCTACCAACGATGCAAGTGTTACGCCATTTAATTTAAGAAACAACATGCAAAATATGTCAAGGTCATAGTCAGTTTTAGAGATATGTGCATCATTCATACCTTATCAACATACGAGCGCACCATGCTTTCGATATCCTGAACAATGCTTTCAGGCTGCCCCTCTGAAAGAGAGAACATAATCAATGAAACTTCTCCTGAAAAAGGCCCACCTAATACAAGAACGTGAACAAAAACAATAAACACATTTACATACCTACTGCAACTTTTGTTAGACCCGGCAGATCAATCAATGTTAAGTTGACCACTGCAATAATCGATTGAATTGAGTAAATAAATATATACTACAAAGATTCAGGAGCTCAGAGATGCTTTTGCATATAAATCAACTGCTCTACAAACTAGTCAACAAGAAGCGTCCACTAACATCAATTTCAATTATTAAAACATGACCAGGAAAACAAAAGGAAACAAAAAAACATTGCAATGCAGCTTTTGTCAGAAAGAAGAGATAAAGTGCTATACACATAGCATTCGACTGAGATTTTTAGATTCAACAACTAAAAGCAATAGCAATAATCTCCATTTTTTTCTTTTTTCTTGAAAAAAGCAGTGGCAGGTTGTGCCCAGGGCTTAGATACCATGTGGAGAGTATATGCTGAGATGAATTGGAACTGGAGATATTTGCTTTGTCTTTCCAGTCAACCTGTCAGTTTCATCTTGGATTTCCTTCCGCACAAGAGCTGCAGAGAACAATAATTGTTGGCATCTGAGATAAGTACTTCAGCCATTTCCATGTACTGAAAAATACCAAATCCACTCTGAGATCAAATGGCAACTGCTTCTTACTAAGTTTGTGCATTCTACTTTTGAATACATGTTGCAAAGCATGATAAAATGCACATGATATTTGAACTAGCAGCACAACATGGGAAACACAAAGATGATCATGCCATTTACACAAGTGAATACTTCTTAGACCCCAATGGCAATGGTAGGTGCAACATAGCAAGTAAGGTAAGAAGTGTCATCCTCATCGAGCAGAAATTTTGAAGAGAACTCAAATAGGAGACAATACAATTGCACACTGGCAGAACCAAATTCGTTAATAACTGAATAATAGTAAGACACAGCGTCTGCTGGCAGAAATATAGTATACAATTATTAGTTTCAGTAAACAGTGCATCTTGCGACGGTAAACATGGCCAATCAAGCATTCAATTATACTAGCAATCAACTTACCAACAAACCAATTTCATAGCAGCTTAGGCCAAGAATAAGTGAATAACCCTATATCGCTGAAGATGACGAAGGATGCTTACCGAAATCAGTGAAGCGGCGCTTGGGCATGTGTAGGAACTCGGCGTACTCCTGCACGCCGTCCTCCGTCTTGTGCAGCTGCAGTACGAGTGGCCTACGAGTCACGATCCCTTCCAATCCAAACACAGACCAAAAACCATAAAATTTCGAGCCCAAAAAAACATGATTCAGTGAATGAAGAAGGTAAAAATCTCTTCATACCTGACCCTCGAGGCAGGAAATCTCGCCCCACGATGCTCTCGAGCACCGATGATTTCCCCGAACTCTGTACATGGCCGCCCAATTAAGCGCCTCGTATTTGAACTACGGAACAAAATCCTAGGCGAGCAAGCACCTAGAGGTGACGGAAAGGAGGCGGACCTGACCGCCGACGACGGCGACTGACGGGAGCGCTTCCCAGAGGGCGGCGACATCCCCGCCGCCGTGGTCGCCGAGGACGGTGCAGGCGCGCTGGATGCGGTTCACGAGCACGATCACGTTCTCCATGGTAGCCATCTTCGGGGTGGGAGGAGGAGAAAGAGCTGTGCGGCTACAGGGGGGGGGGGGGGTGGAAGGTTCTAGAAGGCAGCGGAAGGATCGAGGGGCAGAGCGCCCCCCACTGCCTGCCTGTGTCTGAGGTGTGCGAGCCGAGCAGATAGAGGCGTCGCTGCTGCAACCCGTAACTGCTTCCCCTTTTTCTATTTCTCTTCCGATTTTGCCCTCGCTCTTTTCCAAGTCGTCGAGCGGGAACTGCTTTGGTTCACCGAAATTATTGAAGAGATTTTAAATATTTATTTATTTCAAAAAAAGATTCGTGAGAGAAGGTAAGTAGCAGGTTAGCAGCTGTAGACCATCAATGGTAAAAAACGCAGCTGTAGAGGTCCTATATTCATACGGGGCGGGGCAGCTACCATCTGGATGTCCGGCAGCATAACGCGTTCAGAGGCTGCTCCCATTCAAGCGTAACATCATGTCCATCCCACCCACGTGAGCGCCCACCAAACCCATGTCACCTGCGACATCCTCAACCTTGCTGCGCCCGCGCCTAGCCACGCCCCTTTCCCCGCAGCGCCGCCTTCCCCCGCACACGTCCGGTCGCCGAGCTCGAATTGCCGCAATGAGATAGAGGAAAGGGAAGGGAAGGAAAGGGAGGGAGGGAGGGAGGGAGAGGAGAGGGCGAGACGCGCCGCACGAGGTAGGAGCCGAAGTCCTACAACATGCCGTTGTCCGTCAGTCACCGGTGTTATTGCAATATGTGCAACACCCGGTCTACTTTTAAAATATGCAGATGAAACATTTACAACATACGTTCGAAGATAGATGAAACAATTGAAACATGCGTCTAAAACACTTGTAAAAACACCTAAAAACACTTGAAAAGCCATTGCAAAACATATGCAACATCCAGATAAAATATTTGCACATATGTGTGAAACATATGCAACATCCAATTAAACACACTTGCAACATACGTTTGAAAAAATAAATGAAACATTTGGAACAGACGCTTACAACATATGTGTATAGCCATTGCAACATATGCAACATCCTGATCTACTTTTGCAAGAAATATGTGAAAACACTTGAAACATACGCTTGCAACATGCGCTTTTAGCAAAACCCTGACAGGCGGAGCACTCCACAGCGGGATCCGGCTGTTCGATCGTGGCGGAGAAGGAAGATGGCAGTGAGCGAGCGGCGGCTGCCATCTAAGCCAGCCTAGGCGTGGCGCGGCACGGCCAGCCCGATGCACAGCCATAGTACGCGTAGCCACCCCAACGGCTACCCAATCGGGGGCATAGCCGGAATGAGTAGCGAGAGGCGTGAGTGGAGCGCGCGACGGGTGGGGACAAGGAGCGAGCGACACGAGATGGGTCGCGCAGCAGGAAAGCGTGGCAGCACAGCAAGGCAGGCGTGTGGCAGGGGAAGCGCGACAGAGCGAGGCGGAGTGGACGCGCGGCGTCCAAAAAGGACGGACCTCCGTGCCCTATCATTATCGATATTCATATACATTACTATTGATGTGACGAAATTTAAAAAAAATGAAAATTGGCTGCATACGAAGTGACGAAAACTGAGCATGTAGACTGTACAGACCGTCCCTTCTTGTAAACGACTTGTTCTTTTCTAGACCTTCAACAACCCTTGGCAAATTCCCGTCTTGTACTCTCGTTTGCTAGAATTCGCAAGGATAGTTTCGGAATGAAAGTTGAGACGGCGGGCGGATAAGGACAGTGGGGCCTTGTCTAGTGGATGGACAGAGACATGACAGTTTGTTCGAATGTCTTTCAAAATTTCTCCCTCAGATTTGAAACCTTTGTCAGTGCATGGTGGACCACCCCTAAACTATCAAATGGGCCAAAATTAGGTCAAAAGGAAACAACAACGACCCCAGTCATATATCCACTCAGAAGAAACCATGGAAAAAGTTCACATTATCTCATCAACTTTTGCGGCTTTTCCTCCCTAAACTCTAAGACCAGTTAAACCATCTCCCTGAATTTTTAAAACCGTTCGTTTCACCTCCTTACTGGTTTTAAAAGGCGATATTTGTTTTTTTTATTTTTTATTTATTTCGGCTAAATCTTTGAAAAATCATAGTAAATCATAAAAAAAAAATCATAAAATGAAAACATAGATATGGCATTAAAGCAAAATTGGGCCTGTGTAAGAAAAGAGAAATTGGGCCCAAACAAGGCCTTTATATTGTGAAACAAGAAACGAGGCCTTTATATAGCTGCCGGCCTTAATAACCTTTTGGGCTTCCATTTTTCTTTGTGCGATGAGTGGAGTTAATTATTTGTTCTCCCCTCGTTTAAAATCCTCTTCCATTTTTCTTTGTGTGATAAGTGGGGTTAATACATGTTTAAAATCCTATTTAAGTTTCTATTTCTTCAAACGACATGATCCTTTGTTTGCAATAAAAATGTAAGCCATAAAAAGTAGATCATTCTCTTCAATCCTAGAGCAGTTTTTTATAGCACTTTTATTTATGAGCTTCGATTCACCCCCATACATACAAACATGTTACAAAACACGTACAGGCGTGATTACACAAGATAGAAAAAGATCTTTCCTCCATTCTACTCGATGAAGTAGAAGCGCAGGAAGGTCGGTATGCGCGTGTGCCCAATCAGACTGATCAGTTCAGTTGGTTGTCGCGCTTGAGCTTCTTTTCGGCCAGCATGCCCTCGATGGCGGCCTTCCAGACCTTGCAGTGCGTCTGGTGCTCGAACAGCAGCTGCACCGTCACCCCTTCCTCTGACGTGATCAGCGCCACCGGGAACGCCGGCCGCCCCTCCACCACCGTCTCGCCGCCGCCGTCTCCAACCGCCGAGACCACATCTGAAAATCATCGTCGCCACCAAACGGCAGATGAGCAGATAGACCAGTCGGTGGATGGAGCCGGTATCAAGTATCAACACAGTATGCGGCCAAGCCGCTGGGAGCCAAATCACAACAGCGACGCTAGTACCAAGGTACAAACAGACCAATCGTGACGGGACTGGACCGGCCCTGGAAGATTGATTGGGTCGTTAGAGACAAGCGTGTCGGCAGGGGCAACCGGCCAAACGCCAAACGGCTCAGGTGTTACGGTGCAGTGACGTCGCGGTACAGGCAAGCGCCTCGTCGTCGTCTTCCCCGGACCGGCCGGCCAGCCGAGCGCGCGGCGACACAGAGTGCGCGCACCCACGCGCATGCACGCGCGCGGCGACGACGCGGCAGCGGAATAGCGTTGTGAGATGACTGCGTGCACGAGCTGTTACTTACAGTCCTTGAAGGTGGCGAACGCGCCGTGCAGGCGCTTCTTCCCCAGCCGCAGCACCACCGCTGCGCCGTCGCCGCGCCGCGGGAAGACGGACACCGTCCTCACCCGCACCCTTCCTGCACATATAGGCACCCAAGCAAATACGCAGACAGTAATCAGTTGCAGGGTCAAGCTACACACAATAGCGATGCACAGCTACTACCACAGAATAGATGCATGTCGTCTCTCACCACAAGGCAGACAGACTCTGAGAGTCGTGCCCTTCTGGATGCCAGCGCTGACGCTCATGGCCATGGCGTTGCTGCTGGTGCTGGTGCTGATTCCCTGAGGTCAGCTGCCCTTTGCTTCAGCGTCGCGGCTCCCCTCAAACCTGGCAGAAGCATCAGACACGAACATGTAATCAGTTCCCCTTCATTCTGAGTTTGTCACGTTAAATTTTGGGCGTGGTTTGCCGGTGCTACATGTGGCAGCGGAAGCAGTGAGGGTGAGCAGCTCGGCGGAGGAGCGGCTCTCGAGGCCGGTCCTCACGGCCGACGTGACGCGGCCGCGGTTGGCGCCGGCGGTCTCCGCGGCCTCAGCGCACACTGTGGCCACCAGCGCCGTGGCGGATGCGAGCACCGTGCCTAGCCGCCTATCGCTAGTGCTGGCCGAGGCCGTCGGCCTCAGGTCGCACGCCGACACGATGCCCGCGACCGACACGGCAGCGTGCGCCTGCGCCGTGTGCAGCCGGAGCTCGTCCCTCCGCCTTCTCCGCCGGCTTCCGGTGAGTGGCACGCTGTCCAGCAGGAAACCACGCAGCATCGCCTTCATATTTCCAACTTTGAGCTGCCAAAAAAAAAAAAAAAAAAAAAAAAAAGAAAGAAAGAAAGAAAGAAAGAAAGAAAGAAAAGGAGCAAGCGAATCAAACAAGGCAGTTATTGTACCAGTTCCGACAAGATATCAGCTGTGCTATCCTGTTTGTAATAACAACTGGCTAGTATCTTGTCCTTACTCCTTACTTACCCAGGCAGGCTGGACGAGCTTGTACCGGCGCTGTCCGCAGTTAGGCCTGCCGCCGGCTACAGGTCTCTGTCAGGCAAACCAGGGATCATCATTAACACTGGGGCAATAGTTCACTGCTGAGACGTGAGCCCAATGGCTGACTTACACATGTCTGATTGAACAATTGGTTTGTTGTTCCCCCATTAAAACGAACCGTGCCAAGATGCTTTTCTTTGTCTTCGCCTCCGTCTCCTCTTGCTTCATCTGGCTCTGGGTCCTCCAGCGATGATCCCAGGCTCTTTATTATATTACAATAGATAAAAGTAACCGTGAACAAAAGAGAAAACATTCTGCACACTAAAAAAAGGTGAAAAAAGATGCGTTTTTTTCTTCTAAGGAAGATCCATGCAGTAATAAATAGATAAGACTGAAGTGAAGCGTTACTGTAGGTTGTGCGAAGCATTATTTTGTATGTGGATTGTGAAACAATGGAGTGGCTTGAGAGAAGATGTCGCCACTCGGTTGGTGAAAACTGAAAAAGACATAAACATACACTGGGGGAGAGTATTTGGAAGAGATCCGAGGAGGAGGGGCTCCATGTCCGAGAGAGGAACTCCATGGCCTGCTCAGGGATGACTGGCATCTCTTCCAGGTGGCAGCACTTAGAATGCCGTGACTTCCCTTTACAGCGGATGTCCGCCTTCTGCGCATCGATCGGTGCGCTCTCTGCCTGTTTGAACATTCAGCAATGGCTATATATATTCACACCAAATGAAACAAATCTACAAGAGAATGATGCAGCAGCATGATGCTAAAAAAAAAAACTCAGTATATATATGTAGGCACTAGCTAGGAACTTCTGATCATCAGTATAGATGACCATAAACAGTTCTGAAAACTTAAAACTAGTCAGGTTATAGTAGCCTACTAGCCTTAGCCGACATCTATGGTCAGTTTCTATTATATAACTAAAAATCATGAAGCAAAGGTTTTGCATGATCACCAACCATTTGACATGACAGTGGATGGCATCTCTGGAAGGAGGCCATCCCAAACTCCACCCCTCGCTTGAAATGCTCCATCAGGGCTGCTCAAATCAGGCTCGTGGCTGCACTGAGCGATGCAACAGAACCGGATCAGTGAGGAAGAAGTGATGAAAAAAAAGATCACCCTAACACCGTCTATTTGTAGTTGATATATGAGGGGGCAACTTCTTGTCGTCCACTAAATGTGATATCAAAATCCTAGCTACAGAATAACTCCACTGTTTTGCGATTCGCATTTGTTACTCTGGACAATCCACTAGGAAACAACCAGTAGAGAACAATCAGAATTATTGAATCAGAAAAGGCCGGATTGCCTAATTGACTGTAGACACTAGACACAGTATGATTTGAGAACTTTGTTTCATGTGTGACGAGTCTGCTTTCCTATATCAAATTTGACCGGAGGAAGCTATATAAAAGTAACTGTTTCCTGCAGCTTTCGTTCATGCGTGGCTGATCACTGGAACTTTTCAAGTCTAGAACAGTTACAGACTTTCCAAGTCTATAATGACTGCAAAGACAAATGTTTAGAGGATTTAACGATGGTATCTATGGTGTTCAACTAATTTTACAAGGAAATAAAGAAAATAATGAAACCAAAGGAGCAGATAGGGACAGATAGGACTACAGTAGCAAGCAGATGAAAGGCAGCCTGAAGATAAGCAGTCCAGAGAGAGCAAGAGCTTACTTTAGCAGGAAGCCCTGGGTGCACTGATCTTGTGACACCTGCATGGCTCCAAGTCTTTATATTGTGAGAACATACATAAAAAAAGCTGAAGCATGCGGGTTTACAATGCACCAAGAGTACTCAGAAGGATTCAGTATTATAATTTGCATTCCCACGAAATCTTGATGTATATCGCTTCCATATCTCTTTCTGGGTTGAACTTCCCCATTGAGAACTTGTGGTACTCAAGGTAGACTAGTAAACGGCGATAATGACTTGAGCACATTGCTTCTTTTGGAATGGACCTTGCCAAAACTAAGCAGTTAGAACTAGAGTAATGTGGGGGGGCCAAGGAGGTGGTCCTGCTAATGGCAATTTGACATGGCGTATGATTGCCACTTATAGCAAATGAGTATACAAAATATGTAACGCCGTTCGCTTGACCGAGAAAAAAAAGTTGTAAATGAGATGCGCATCATGTGCCATATATACGTGGAAATCTTCGAACAATTTCTAACAGGCACTCGATCGATATAGAGAAATTTACAAGACGGTAATGATGATTGTGATGCTGGATGAAGCATGGATTAGCTAGCAATGATTGTAAATGAGTGTCTAGCCAAAAGGTGAGATGGCGCCATAACGATAGCTTCGGCAGAAAGCAATTAACTAGTAATCTCCGGTGTACTACAGGGGTAATCCATGATATATTCACCCAAGTAGGAAAGAAAATGTATACATCTGGCAGGACATGTGCAGTGGTGATCTTGTTATTGTAAAGGTTCGAACTTCGAAGCTTAATTCCTACTTGTGGTATATAACTGATATGTGAGGTGGGTGGGATCAGTAATCAGTTGAGACCTGGTATCATCGATCAGTTGCAACCCGGAAGACTTGTGAAACCGAGGGGCGGGTGACTCATTTATCTAAAGACTGAAGCACTGATGTTAATAGGAGTTCATTGCATTGGATGGATCAGCGACAAGTGATCCAGCGATTAGGGCGAAACCACATGCTCCCGCGCCCCAATCGACGCGCATCATGAAGATCAACTTCTCCTAATTGTCGAGTTCTTTAATCTCCTAACATGGATTATAGGAAAGAAATGAAGGCGGCGTGAGGAATCAAAGAACAGGAGGAATAGACGTACTGACCTTCCTTCTTCTCCGTTTGGACAGGATCAGATGTTCAGAAGAGGGAGGCCCCTGCCCCTGGGGAGAACCTCTGCTGCTGGGATCCACGAAGTGACCAAGATGAAAGCAGGCAGCGCGGTTACACATGTAAAATCAATTTCTAATAGTCGTTGCCGTAATCGCGGCTTTCAGGGCACGAAATCGTGTGGCCGTTTTCAGAGAGATCCGGGGGCCCGGCCCACACGGCCATGACTGACTGACCGGTGTGTTGTCCTCTTCAGCTTTTATATATATATATATATATATATATATATATATATATATATATATATATATATAGAGGAACTCGTTTGATCGCCATTGTAGAACGATCGTAAATTTTCAATTTGGAGAATGATATTTTCTCTCACATAAACCAACCAGTGATTTCTTCACGAACCAAAGAGAACTAAACGAACCCAACCAACCGAACAAAATGTCTGTCTGTCTCCAAAAGACGGGCAGCGGATCGGGCCACGTCACCCGTTTACCCGCTAGCCGTTGGATCGACCGTTCATGCGATCTGGTCCGTCCGATTACGAGTCGGTTCGGGCGTCGACCCGTAAAGCCGCGAACCTTCCGAGGTTGCCCGTCGTGCAGAGGAAACAGAGCCACGCGGCGCAACCGCGCTCGACCTGGCTGTCCTCCGCCGCCCCTGCACCTCCCTCATTCCGACGCCCCGCACCTCCCTCATCCCGACGCGGCCCGGTGGGCCAGCAGCCCCAGCGCGGGCGGGGTGTGTGCGCGTCATTCCCGGTGACCCTGGCGCAGGCGAGGTACGGGCGCGGCGACCCCGGCCTCTCCGGTCTCGGACATCCGGCGCGGGCGGGGCCCCAACGGCCCCTGCGACCCCCGCGCGACCGGCGTTGCGCGCGTGGCGGCTCCGGCCACCCCGGAGCGGGCAGCGAGCGAAAGCACGGTGGCTGCGGCCACCCCGGCGCGGGCGTGAAGCTCGAGCGCTGCAGCCACGGCGGCCCCCCTCCACGGCGACCCCGGCGCGGCGTCCCCGTCGATGGAGCGCTCGGCCCTCGCAATGAAGGTCTCGGTCGTCCAGCGCCGCTAGGCTCCACTCCAGCCTTCGTTCGGTCTCCCAGTCCCCTTCGTCCCTTGAAGGATCATACTGAGGTTCAATCCAAGCTGACGAACAGAACGTCTCCCCACACGCAGCAGCCCCTCATGGTGTCTTCTTCTTCAATTTGGTAAGGGCTCGTCTTCACCTTGTGTTTTCCTCTTGCTCATGTGGTGCTTGTCCTCAATGATGCATGCTGAAGCTTGAGTCAACCATTTATAAGACTGATTTTTTGTCAATCTTGGTGGGATGGCTACAATCAATTTGCGAAGAGATGGTTATAAGACTGATTTTTTGTCAATCTTGGTGGGATGGCTACAATCAATTTGCGAAGAGATGGCTTGGACCCTGCACAGCAGCAAAAAACCAATTATATGTGCACCTGCACCTTGACAAAACTGTTTCCCAGCTATAGCATTTCCTGGTTCGATTCGTCTCTTCCATTTTCGTTTGAACCTCTTCAATACAATAAGGGCCTATTGATGTGGATGTTTAAAACAGATATTAGTTCATCCTTGATACAGTAAGTTTTTAAATTGATGTATCTTTTTTTTAATATAAATTACAGCAGATCAGATGTGGAATGCCAGCCGGTGATGAACTGGACATCGACGACAACTATAGCGCACAGGAGATATTCGACAAAATTCGCATGAGGTAAACAGCACAGCCTTTTGTCTCCATGAGTATACCATGAATCAAGGCATGTTGGGGCTGTCTTTGTGATCTTCGGCGTGTTCGGCTGGACTTAAATTTTCACTGTGCATATTGAAATTTTAGGAGAGAAAAACACTGCTCCGGCTGAAAACCATAGCCAACCAGCTGGCCATTTATGGCCAGCCGAACACGCTGCTTGTTTGCAGTACTGGTTCTAGCCAGTCCTCTTTGTACTCAGTGTATGATAGCTACTAATGTGTGTGAAATGTCTTTGATACCTACTATTTATGATTTAGGAACTAGTAATAGCTTGGTCACTGTCCTGGACTAGCTTGGTCACAATTTCTTAGGTGTGCAAAGAGAATACTATATTTCAGTTCTTAAATAGCTATTTGCTTTTCTATTCAGTTCAAGCAGCACTTAAATACTGATTGAATTCAGGCACAAGGTGTTTGATATGTCTGTCATGACTAGGTAACAACAACAATATATATATATATATATATATATATATATATATGTATGTATTTTTTATCAGCCTGTTCGTTTGGCTGTGGCTTGTCGTATACGATCGTAAATTTGCAGCCGGAACAGTATTTTTCTCTCACACAAACTAGCCAGCAGTACTACTTTATGAACCAGCCAACCGAACATGCTTATACTCCTGGGAGTAGTTACTCCCTCTTCTAATCGGGTTTGAAAGCAACCACGGGATCCATTAGTCAGGCGCTACAGCCTCCCACAGTCCACCTTTTCAAAACGCATGCATGTATGGGAACTTATCTCCTCCAGATTTCAGGTGATGGCTTCATGCCACATATAAAAATATTGTTTATTAAGCATAGGGATAGCGTATATCATTTTTTTGCAAGTATATGTATATACGGTAGTATGCGTTCATACTTTTTTGAGAGAGTATGTCCATATACCCGAAGACAAGTATAGTATGTCGGCCTGTTCGTTGGTTGGTTTCTGGGCTGGCTGGTGC